TCTTCTGGAAAAGGAAAGGATCGAATTAAACTCTCTCATAGAAGAAAACTCCCAAAAATGGCAAATCAAATCCAGAGCTAAATAGACTGAAAAGGGTGAAAAATCCATCAAGTACTTCTACTCCAGATTTATAGAACATCTGAACAGCTCTCCCTCTCTTCTTATCAAAGATCCTTCAAACTCCTCAACTACTAATTAACAAATAATTCTTAATTATATTGGATAATGATATCAACACCTATACTCGCAAGATGAAGTTTCCTTTTCAGACATATCAGATCTTCTCACAAACGTCACACCATTTCCAGGCAATAAGGATGATATTATTACCCCTATCACTCATAATCTTATTAAATCTACTATAATGAGCCTACTCAACAACAAGTCTCCAGGTTCAGATGATTTGATCTATGAATTCTACAAGTCTGCCTTATCACATATTATTGACTCTCTTTCTTCTCTATTCAACTCAATTCTTTCTAATAGTATCATTCCTAGTTCATGAACCAGGTCACTTATTACTCTCATATCAAAAAAAGATAATGACAAAACTCTTGTTCAGAATTGGAGACCTATTGCTCTAATCAATACTGATGCAAAAATCTTTCTCAAGATCTTGGTGGGACAGTTAGCCAAAGTTGCGGGTCATCATCTCCTACATCATCAAAAAGGCTTCCTTCCTGGAAGAAACATTATTGACGCCACTTTAAACATCTTAATAGCTACTGAGATTCTCAAATCTTATACCAACATCCCCACATATCTACTTCAACTAGATCAACAGAAGGCTTTTGACAGAGTGAATCACCAGTATCTCTCAAAAGTCTTAGAATACTTTGGTCTTCCACCTATCTTTATTCAACTAGTTAATAATATCTTCGGACAATAATCAGCCAACATCACTGATAATAAATATTTATCTAACGAATTCAGACTAGAAAGAGGAGTCCAGCAGGGTGATCTGCTTTCTCCTATTTTATTTGCTCTTTCAATAGAACCACTTCTTGCAATTCTGTCCTCCTCTCCTTATCAAATTAACAGTTACCTTGACAATAATCAGACCTACGCAAATGGCACAACTATTCTAGCTCTGAGTAATCTACATTTAGACTTCATTTGTGATATAATCAAGAAATACGAAAGAGTCTCTAATACAAGAGCCAATCTTAATAAATCAGTTCTTATCCCACTAAATGACCTTGCCAAAGCCAACTTACACTCCTTACAAAATAAATATCAGTTTACTATTCCTATTCATAATGCTGATATCAACATCCTGGACTTTCACTTCAATACCAACTTTACAATGCATCATTCTATCTGGTCTACGCTGATCAAGAAACTTGAAAAAAAACTTCTTCTTTTGAAAATGAGAGACATCTCCCTCAAAGGCCATGCCTTAACAGCAGGCTCTCTACTGGCTTCCAAAATCTGATACATGTCCTATATTTTTTCTTCCTTAATACGACAAGTAAATACTATACAATCTTTATTAAACAGATAGGCCAGAGGTGATTCTAAATCCCTCCTCTCTTCCATTATCATTCAACTTTCAAAAAACAAAGGTGGCTGGAATCTTTCTAACATCAAGTCTGCCGTTAAAGCTCGGTCAGTCATGATAACCACCAAACTTTTTCATGCCAAAGAAAATTAGGCCAAATACCAATTCTCCATGATCAGCTCTTTCCAAAACAACTTTACCAAAATCCGTCTTCAATACAAAAAGAAAGACTGGCTAATAGCCTACCGACCCTTTATAAAAAATTAGTTTCTGGTGGATAGACTAAATTTTCTTGCTTCCTCTACCTCCCTTATCACTACCAAGTTAAAAAAAGAAATATATCTCAAAAAAGTGTGACCAGTAGCTAAAAATGTACTATGGAAAAATCTGGGCATAATTAACCTTCCTTCATAAACTCATGTGAATGCATAGAGATAGTATCGTAGTGCACTACCCCTGAAGGAACAGGTCTCATGGTCTTCCTCCATCGACTCTATCTTCTGTCGATAGTGCCCTACGTCTCCCCAAATGCACTAATACTTTCTTTAAGAATGCTTATTCACCAAGATAATTATACAAGAAATCGTACATTACCTCGATGAATGCATCACCTTCATCCATATCCTAAATCAACATCCTAATGACTTCTCTCTCACTACTTTCTGGCTTTCCTCCTGGCTTATCAATTACATTTAGCAGACTTCTGCTAGACTTAACCTCAATATCGAAGAGTCCAAAACTCAAATCATAAAAGCAGCTCCACACATTCTTCTCAGAGATGCAAAAATTCATCTAGATAGTTCCTGAAATAATAAATTTACCAAATAAATAGATCTACTATATAAATCACTTGTATCTTAATTCCATATCACGTATTTATTCAATAAACAAATTCTTGCTTCACCCTTCCTTTTTGGAGAAAAAAAAAAAAAATATTAATTTCAAAATATTATTATTAAATTCTTGATCTGAATATATTAATATCAAAATCTTGATATAAAATTATAATCTACAGTCTGGTCTAAAAAAAACCAGAATTTTTTATTCATTACTATATCACGATCATTATATTAAATCATGTGAAATTTTTTTTATTCGATATTTAGAAATAGACAAATTTATTACACAAAATTAATATGAAATACATTCTCTATTATTCTCTATAATTAGCTCATATTATCTCTTCATCGATCGTACCAATCCAATTAGAGTAGATTTTGGAATTTTCCCCCATTCTTCCCCCATATACTATTCTAACTTATTAATATTTTTTGGCATTCTTTTTTCTACATTTCCCTTAACAATCCTCCATAAGTTTTCTATTGGATTCAAATTCAGACTATTTGATGACCAGTCTATAACTTTGGACATATTTTCTGAAAGAAAGGATTTTGCCAAGTGACTTGTATACTTGGGGTCATTATCCTGTTGGAAATGCCACTGACTCCTAAGCATCCCCCTCATCTCTGGTAAATATTTATTTAAAATTTCAACATAAAATTCCGCATTCATGATCTGTTTAAAACAGAACAAACTTGTCTTTTACTTAATATAAAAACCCCCTCACGCAAGAATTTTTATTTGGCTTTTAGGCATATAACAAATTGGTCATTTTCCCTTATACTATTATTTCATAGTGTTTCGATAGAGTTCAAATATCATCTCATCAGTAAAAAAAGTTTGATCCCAATTGTCATTAAGATGAGCTTGTGTCCACAAAATCCATTTTTCCTTATGTGCTTCAATAAGCATGATGGTAGCTCATGGCTGACTTTTTAAATATCCAAGATTATTCAAATATCTTCTAATAGTTTGATGTGATACTTGTACATCTGTTTCTAATATTTTTGTAACCAAATTTCTTGTCGAGAGAGAGATATCCCTGCGAATATATTGCCCTAGTCTTTTTGCAGATTGCCCATCAATTCTTTTCGGTCATCCATTTTTACCCACATATTTTGTAGATCCAGTTTTTTTGAGTTTTTTTATGTTATCATATATTGTTGAGAAAGAGAACTTTGTTTATGCATGAATTTTTTTTGCATCACATATACCATCATTTCATAATTGTAATAGAACTTCTCATTGTTTCTTTTTTGCTTCAGCCAACATATCAAAGAATATCCCTACAAATGTAAAAAGGTTTGATAAAAAAAAAAGATTGTTAACATAGAACAAATGTCTTGGTTTCCCTTTTTGTATTAGAAGATCTTAAATGAACTTCAATTGGATGATTTACAAAAATTTTTGTGAAACAAAAAAATTCTGGTTTTTTTTGGACCAGACTGTATATTAGATTAGTGATAGAAGCTGTAACTAGCTGCAACTCTATTACAATTCTCTAATTGACTGTTGCAACTTTGTTATAATTCTCTGATTAACTATCACAAGCTGCAACTAGTTGAGAAGCCATCTTTATATTAGATAATATTAGTTAATAATATTATAATAATTTATATATTTGAAATATATAAAGGATCTGCTCTTTCAAATTGGAATAAATAGTTTTGAATTGAATTATTTGAAAATATAATTAAAAAGCTTATTATAATAATAATAATAATAATCTTTTAATTTCTTTTTTAATTATACTAGTATTATTCAGTTTTATTTCTTTGATCATATAAAGTTAATTTTGAATTTTTGTTATAATGTTATATTAATTTTGATTTGAATATTTGACTTTGATATTTTTGATTTTGATATTTGATTTGTTATAATTTTATGATTTGATTTTTATTTAATTAAATTGATTTATAATTTGATTAATATAAATTTTTGTATAGTTTCTTTGATTAATATGGTTTCACTTATTAATTATTATAAATCTTTTAATTTATTTTATTCTTTTTTTTAACTTTGCCTTTTTCTAAATCACCATTATAATTTAATCTTCTTAACAACATTATCTGTAAATATTGGCACAGGCTTTAAAAATCTTTGCTGGTATTTATATTTTAATTAGTTTAATTGCCTCTCTCCCAATCCCATATGCTTTATAGTGATTCTCAGTAAAACTCACTATTCAGAATCGCTATAATAATAGAATATAAATTTATATCTGTTTCATCTAGAAAGTAAGAAAGGTGATAATTGATTTACTTTTGATTATATAATCACAATAATATGCCAAAAGGTATTACTATTTTTAAAATAATGAGGACAAATCTAACTATATGTATTGACCTACATGTATATTTATTCATGTACAGCACAATTACTTATTTTCAAAGCTTCAAAACGTCAATAAAATTTCGTTCACTTTGATGAAACATGCACACTTGTCAGATTCTAATCTAAAATTGATATTTTGTGCTTTTTTTTGATTTCCAAATTTAGCATATCATGTCATCCAAGAAAGTACATTATCAAAAGTTATTTATGTCTTTTAATTAAATATCGGATGACTTTAGATTTCTTCACCACAGGAATTGAAACTTTGTAAGCTTCCAGTTACATTTCAAAATATTTATAATAGATTATACAGAAGCAAATGTTATTAGGATCCATAAACTTGCATATTCATAGGTTGTATATTATGAGCCACTTGAGGCGGATAGGTCATTTGACTAGGAGCTCCATATACAGGTAGGTCGTTTGGGTATGCCATGCTTATATTGCTTGGATCATTATTAATTTTTACTGAGTTAGAAATAACGTTTGCTGGAAGCGTAGATGCCACGTCGCTTAAGGGCTGATTATCATCATTTGCATTTTTCACAAATTCTTCAAGGTATCCAGCATTTACTACATGATCTTTTAAAAAAAGTTCGAGTGCATTAAATCTTTCCTCCATACGTCTCTTAAATTCATCATCGGTTCCAAAGTTATTTACGACTGTTGGATTGCTGTTTGCAGCAGGTGAAAACAACGGTATGTTTGGATATCTATTAAGGATATGTTTGCGATTGTCATTTGGAAAACAACAGCTGTGAACCAGCCCCCAAGGTCGCAATGCATTTATTCCTTTTTTAAATACCAAAAAACAATAAGTAAGCTTTCAAAGGATTAATCAAATAAACTTTATTGAAAAATACATACCAAATAAACAAGCATATACTCCTGCCGCAATCACCCATATGCCACCGAATAAAGCAAGTGCGCCGAGAAACTAATGTGATTTAAATTTATAAAATATGTCTATACAAGAGATAGAATATAATATACGTACTGTTTTTGTTCTTTCAAAACAAAAATGAAATCGAAGGAATTTTAATTGTAAGGTAATTATCAAATATTTAAAAATTTTTTTAGTCACCTTTGTTCTCTTAGTCTTTCTATCATATAACTTCGAGGAAGTATTATAAGGGATGCTTCATTATTTAGTTTATGGTTAACAAGCTCTATAGAAAAGAAAGAAATCATATGCTTTTATACGATCAATTAAATCAATTTTAATATCATAAAAAATGAAAAATTACCGTAATCTGAGGTGATATACGTTTGTTTGCTATAACTTGCTGGAATGCCAAAAGTATTACTTTGCGTCTGGGATATAATTTCTTTAATAGTTCGTGAAAATGCGAAAGTTCCGGTCTAAATTAAAAATATATTTGAATTGGAACTATTTCATGAAAATACTTAATAAATGAACGTCATTCGTTTTCCCACCGTATTGTGCTAGATAATTTTGTTTAAAAAAAATTATCATTAGAATTAATAAGATATCCTGTGGAATCTAAATAAATAAATGTAAACTTTACTAACCAGTACAAAATAATTGTTTAATGCTCCTAACGAGTAAGTAAATTGTTGGCCATAGGTATTATAAAAGTTCAATTCATCGCCATCTAAATCTGAACTGGGCTTATTGCTATATGGCCCGAATTCTTTAAAATTATTAGAAACAATTAGAATTAAATTAAATGGATATAAAAAATTTTAAGATCTATAGTTTTACCTGGGTCGTAGGCCTCGATGATATACCCTTCACTTTTGATAGGATCAAAAGTGTTGTCATTTGGAGTGAAAGATAAACCTATGCTTGAAAGATCTTTAGGAGCGAATCTTCCTGCAATTTGGTCCAAACTTACAAGTGTCTTCCATTTTTTTTCAGTGGTCACTACAGGTTGATTGATATATAGTGTACAATCTTGTTTCGTAGCTAAATAAAAAAATAAAATATATTAAATTCTCTCTTATTAACAATTGGATTTTTTTTAACTTACTGAGTTTAATTGACAAACATTCAATCTTAAATTGATAATTAGATGTTATCAAAATATCTATAACGATAAATGTAAATTGATATTAATTAAGCTCTGCGAATACTTCAATTAATCTATAAAATATGAACCTGGTATCGGAAGAGAATCTGCTGTAAATATAGTCTTTTGCAATACCGGACCATCATCAAGTATATCGATAATCAAAAAAGCCGTAAATGTTGTGAGTAGAGCTAAAATTAAAAGAGCGGAAATTCCCCGACATATGACGATTGATTTTGGCTCAATATGACGATACCGAGGAAAAATCTCTTTCAAATATATGTATAGCTTTGTTTGAAACATTTTCAGAAAGTTTAGAGACTTCTCGTCGCAAAAAAATGCTTAACCGTAGTTATCGGAATAAATATTCCTGCCTTATAATTACAAGATGTAGGGCAGCAATCTATTTAAACTTTTATTCATATAATACATATAAATGTGCTTGATACATGAATTGGCGTTTTTCATATTGTGTTGTGTTAGTACATGTTACATGTACAGTTGTGAACAAAAGTAACCGAAGTTTCTAGCTTAATGCATGTACAGAGATTGCATAACCCACTAAAAATTTAACGATTAATAATTAACTTAAAGAGAATATTAAAAATTATTTTGTTTCTGACTTATATAATGTCGTATTACTTTTGTGTTCTTTCTAAAAGCAATGCTACTATTCTATTTTTTTCTGTGTTCTTGCTAAAAGTCAGTGCCACTTTCACTTCATAATGTTATGAAATTGTATTTTTGCCATCCTAATGGTTCGAAACTTGAAATTTGCGCCATATCAAAGATCGCATTGGAAAAGCGCGAGGTTTTCAACGATAACCAAGACAAAACAAAATTGATATCCAATTGTAAATGAAAAAGAAAGGGGTGGAATTAGTACGCGAACTGTTGGATAGCGATTTCGTGAAATATTGCAATGGACGAAAAATTTTTAATTTGGATAAAGTAATTTTACAAATAAATTCACCTTACGTCTGAATCCATCAATAAGTGTGAATTTTCGTAGAAAAGAAAATATTTCGTTGAACAAATCCTAAAAGTACACGTGTGAGGTTGTTTTTCAGTATCAGGTTTTAGCGAGTTAATAGGTTTCCAAAGAGTTGGCTGGCAATAATTATATAGATTGGATTTATGGTTCAAAACAACAAAAAAATGAAGGCTGAAAATGATATTGTAAACTTCCTTGAATTCGAATCATTCAGGTTCAGGATTTGAAGACAATATTGACAAAAGAATGGCGGAATCTTCCATATGAGCTTGCCGGAATTTAGAAGTATGGAATGTAAAGTTTTATGAACTTTAAATTACATGTAGAATAAATTTTTTTAACGATTTATGTAGTGTTCGGTTAATTTTGTCCATGGATGTGATATCAAGCTGGTGTTACATAATACATGTACATTTACTGTTGATATCGCAATGAAAAATCTCGCGATCGTGAAATATTCTGAAATAAATGCGAAGTTTCTTGATTCTTGTACCTTATCAGTAATGTGTAATGTTAAAAATAATTATTAGTGTTTTTCTATTTAAACAGAATCCTGTGGAAATAATAAGAGATTCTTATTAAAATTTTTACTTTGCGATTCTAAGATCCTGATTGTCGTTAGGAAATTTCATAGCAAATTTCATAATTTGTACATTTTTCCCTTACTTCATGATCCATAATTTTACTTTATTTTAATAGTGGAAACATTCTCAAGCAAACTTCGCCGGAAAACGTCATAATATTACGTCACTTTGTCGTAGATGTAAAAGTGTCTTAAGACATATAGTGACGTGATTAGAGAATGGATGACAGTTTTGAGAACCATATTTTACTATAAAATTATACATATCCTGTTGATCCGGTTTTATATACGGAATCCGAGGCATTATTTTGCGCTTATACGGTATTGAAACTTGGCCGTTGCATATATTGAGCTTCTGGGTGAGTGGATGAGGCAGTTAGTCCTATGTATGACGATTAGCTCTCGTTTGTTTTATTATCGATATATAAACGCATAATCATGATTGTAGTCAATGTACTCATTCAAAAGATATGAGGTCAAAAGTTTCAATTCTAGATGGTCAAATATCACAAATGAATTTATATATTTGAATGTTCTAATATAAAAGATTTACAAACGTTGAATATCTTGCAAAAGAGCTTTTTAACCTGGAAAAAGTGATCATAAAGTAATAAATTACAACGAAATAGAGAACCAAATTTGCGTTGAAAGCATTATATACTTTACATAATTCAAAACAGATTATTCCAAAGTTTATAAACGAGGTAAAAATGAACATTTTCTAAAATGAAAGTTGCTTTGTTTTCTGATATAATTTTTTAAAAATAGATTCAAATTATTCTTATATGCAGTACAAAATATTACGAATGAAAACTCCTATGCGTAGCAATGAATTATAGCCATGGCGAAAAAACTCCGGTTCATGTGATTTTTAAGGGGTAACCAATTAAATCGCAAGACCAATGTGTAACGGAGAAATTCTCGAACAAAAAATGTTGCTTGAGAAATTTTACTATAATGGAATATGCTCTTAACTTCATGCCTCCGCTTTCGTGAAAATTCTTGCAAGATTCATACTCTATATACGTTATGACCCACAAATTTATCCCTGGTTTTACCTAAGGTGAAATATACCAATATATAAAATAACATCCGTAATTGATGGTTACGTAGACTTTAGTTGTCTGTATATACGTAAGACGGATGGCAAACTGTTGTTTACCATCTGAAGATGAAAAATAATTATAGTGTTAGCGATACAAGTTTGGCATCTATGTAACTTAAAACAAAAAAATCACGTATAAAGCAACTTTCGATGAAAAAATAGTTTAGAGTGAATATAAGCTAAACAAAAATTTTAGGTAATATTCATTTTTTGTAATTAAATGAAAAATTATCTATAGAAAGTAAAAATAAATTCTAAACTCTAAGAAACGAAATGTTCACCACCAACAATTTGAAATTGGAATAAATTTTTTTTTAAAAAAAACTGACATTAATCGTTCTTGAGATTGATTCTATTGCATGTCCATACACTCTTTTTGCACAAAATCGTGATATTAAGAGTATATGATAATGGGTAGAATCGAACAACGATTTTCAAATATTCGCTGATTTATACATGAAATATCAAATTATCTGAGTGAACGCGAATGAGATCCTATCCTTCAAATTAAATACCGTAAAGTCCCGATAATAAGCAACCCCCTACGTCATCATTTTTGAGGTCAATTTTTAGGGGGGTTGCTTATTTTCGAGCCCTTTAAATAAACGTAGATATATCGACGACTAATGATCCAAATCGAACGTTCTATAGCTCATCAGATTCGCCTTATTGAGGCGATCATTTTGGCGGTTTTTTCGCTTGAATCTGCTCACTGGTTATCGAAATACTCGAAAATATTTACTGCTATATATTAAAAATTACTATCGCAAATAGGGGTTGCTTATTCAACTTTTCTAGTACTTTTGGGTCTGAAGGGGGGGGGGTTGCTTATTTTAGGGGGTTGCTTATTATCGGGACTTTACGGTAATTGAAAATATTTAATATATATTTTCGTTCTTTAATTTTAGCAATCTTTACTTTCACAAAACATTGAATACTTTCACAAAACATTGAATGTTTTGAATGTTTTGTAAAGGAGTAATGCATTGATATAGGATTGTAATATAAATTTGTTATTGGAAAAGCTTTTTAATATTGCATCACCATGATTTAAGAAATTAATTACAAATACATGTATCAATATCGTAGCACAGTATATTACGTAATTATGTGATGATTTCTAGAAAAATACGAGAACGATAATTTTTCGTTGATCCGAAAAAAAAGATGCGGATAGGGCCAAAAATGGAAAAGTTGATTACGAGTGAAAAATCGATTAGGTATTCCGACAACCTAACATCCTAACAATTTAGTTCCTTGAAATTAAACATCCCGACATACGCAACTTCTCGAAATAACTTTATATTTAAATGGATATTTACTTTTATAACATCGATTGTTGTGAAAAATATCACCATAAAAACCAGAATTTGGACTTGAAGTTGGAATGTTAAATTTTGGGAAATTGGTTTGTGGGAGTAGACCCGCTACAGATATGCGTGCTTTAATATCTATTATTGCTTATATAATCGTTAATTTAATCTTTATAATATATTTATATTCAAGCTTGGCCCCAAAAATGTTATCAACATAATTAAATTAATAATAAATTTTTGTCCAAACTGTCCAAAATTGTCCTGATTAATAATATATTCTTCCGGTAATATACCCGCTAATTCTTGGTAAAACAATCGAAATCATTTACTATTATAAATATTCGTAATAATGATCATTTCATTTTTTAAATGTTGCATATAAAACGATAATTAGAAGATTCTATAATGTTACCGGACTAATTTAGAAGGTTAACGTTAATTTTTAGAACGATACGAATGGTTATCTGTGTTTTGTTCATTCCAGAAACACATAGAACATCAATTTACACCTGTTTCTTCTAGAAAGCAAGAAAAAAGAATAAAAGAAATTTATTTTTGAACATCGAGGTGATACATGTAATTGGTTACATGTACATGTACGGGATCAACGCTATTTTTAATATTTGCTCAAAAAGGAAATAAAACAAAACGAAAGAGCAGATTAACGATCTACTTGTATACCAAATGCATGTCGGATCAATATCGTTAACGTTATTTTTAATATTTGTTCAAAAAGGAAATAAAACAAAGAGCAGAGCAGATCTAATTAGCGATCTACTTGTACATATACATGTATTTTGAATTCGTGTATAGCGCAGTTGGTTATTTTGAAAGCTTTTAAAATTTTTAAATTTGAGTAACTATATGAAATATGTTTGTCAGGTTTTAATCTAGAATTGATAGTTGTGCTTTTTTAACTTAACATATTGTGTCGTCCAAGAAAGTACATTATCAAAGGTTATCTAATTAAATATTGGATGACTTTACATTTATTCACCACAGAAAGCTTCCAATTTCTTCTCAAAATATTAATAATAAATTCTACAGAAGCCAATGTTATTAGGATTCGTAAAATTGCATATTCATAGGTTGTATATTGTGCGCCACTTGAGGCGGATAGGTCATTTTACTAGGAGCTCCATATACAGGTAGATCGTTTGGGTATGCCACACTTGTACTTCTACTTAGGTTGTTTGGATCATTCTCAATTTTTACTGAATTAGAATTAACATTTGCTGGAAGCGTAGATGTCGCGCCGCTTAAGGGCCGCTTATCGTTATTTGCACTTTTCACAAATTCTTCAAGGCATTCTGCATTTACAACATAATCTTTTAGAAAAACTTCGAGAGCATTAAATCTTTCCTCCACACGTGTCTTAAATTCATCGTCGGTTCCAAAATTCTTCTCGTTTGGGAAATTACTGTTTGCAGTGGGCGAAAACAACGGAATAGTTGGAAATCTATTACGGATGTGTTTGCGATTGTCATTTGGAAAGCAACAGCTATGAACCAGTCCCCACGGTCGCAATGCGGTTGTTCCTTTTTAAAATTAAAAAAATAATAAGTAAAATTTTAAAGAATTAATTAAATAAGCTTTGTTGAGGAAATACATACCTAATAGACAAGTATATACTCCCGCCGCAATCACCCATATTCCACCGAATAAAGCTAATGCTTCGAGGAACTAACGTGAACTAAGTTTAAAAATAGGTCTATACAGGAAATAGAGAATAAAATACACATACTGTTTTTGTTCTTTCAAATAGTACGAGATCAAATAAATATTAATTATAAGATGCTTATTAAAAAATCAAAAAGAATTATTGCTTTATTTATTCACCTTTTTTCTCTTAACATATCTACCGTATAAGTACGAGGGGCTATTAAAATATATTCAGTTTTACGGTCATATTGTAAAAGCTCTATAGAAAATAAATGAATTAGATGTCTTTTATATTTAATCAATTAAATTAGCTTTTAATATCATTAATATAGAAAACGTGAGATAATACGGTAATCCGAGGTGATATATGTTTGTTGGATATAACTTGCTGGAATTCCAAAAGTATTACTTTGTGTCTTAGTTATAATTTCTTTAATAGTTCGTGAAAATGACAAGACTCCGCCCTAAAATAAAAAATATTTCAATTAAAATAATTTCACGAAAAACAATTTATGTTAATAAATGAATGCTATTCGTTTTCCTACCGTCTTGAACTAAATAATTTTTTTAAAAAATAGCATTAGTTGTTTAACTAAAATATCTTTTGAAATCTAAAATATAAAACATAAGCTTCGCTTACAGGCACAATAAATGAGTTTAATCCATTCAACGAAGCTGTAAATTTTGTGCCATAGATATTCAAAAAGCTTAAAAGATCACTATCTGAAGCACTGGCTTTATTGCTGTACGGCCCGAATTCTTAAAAAAATTAAAAATAATTAGAATTAAATTAACTAGAGTATAGAAAATTTTTAGCATTTGATAGTTTTACCTGGGTCGAAGGCAAAAATGGCATACCCAGTACTTTTAGTGATGTCAAAATTGTCGTCATTTATACTTAAACTTAACCTTATGCCAATAAGGTCTCCAACGCTGAATCCTCCTAAAATTTTGTTCAAACTTAAAATTGACTCCCACGTTTTACTAGCGGACTGTACTGGTTGACTGACATATTGTGTACAATCTTCATTCGTAGCTAAAGAAAAAAATAAATTTCATTATGATTTTCTCTTATTAGCAAATTAATTTTTCTAACTTACTGAGTTTAACTGATGTGCAACCGAGCTTAAATTGAAACAGAGACGAAATCACAACATCTATAATGACACAAGTTAATAGACATTAATTAAGCCGTTGCAGATACTTCGACTAATCTGTAAAATATGAACCTGGTATTGGAAGAGAATCTGCTTCAAATGTAGTCTTTTGCAATACCGGACCATCATCACGTATATCGATAATTAAAAAAGCCGTGAATGTTGTGAGTAGAGCTAAAATCAAAAGAGCGGAAATCCCCCGACATACGACGATTGATTTTGGCTCAATAAGATGGTATCGATTAAAAAACTCTTTCAAAAATATATAAATCTTTGTTTGAATCATTTTAAAAAAGTTTAGAGACGAAGCATCGCAAAAAAAATACTTAACCGTAGATATCACTCTTATATCCCTGCCCTGCAATAATAAAATGTGGTATCATGTAATTATCAATCTAATGTATTTTAAATTTTTTGTCCCATGTTTCATGTATTTGGCGTTTTTTTCAAATACATGTATTTGTCAAATATTATTGACATTGTGTTGTGTTAAATTATTTTATCAAAAATTATGTAGATTTCAGGCTGAACAAAAGTAACAGAACTTTCTAGCTTGATACATGAATAAAGATTGTATAGCTTATTAAAAATTTAAAGATCGTAATAACTAACACAAAGAACAATGGCACCACTACCATGGTCCGAAATTCGCAATTTGTGCTAAAGATCGTCTAAAAAATACTGTATACATGTATCATTGGGCCAATAAATGGAAACAACACGAGATTTCAACGTTGAACCAGACAGCGTGACAGTAGTGCAACATAAAATAGGGCAAAAAATTGTAAATATGAAAAAACTTTAAAATATCCAATTGTCAATGAAGAAAAAAAGGCTAATTAGAACACAACCTATTGGACAGCACTTGGTGAAGACAAGAAAAATATAGCTATCCCAAAGTGCAAATCACTACTCAAAGATAACCATCGAATTAAACGTTTGTATCCTACGTTATCTCTTTGATCCATAGCTCTTCTTACAAAATTCATGTCATAATTCATAATATTGACGTATAATTCTACTTTATTTATTCTTGTGATTACATTAATTTTATTATATCTTTGTCTCGAAACATAGCCATAACTCTTTTTGCAAATCTTGTAGTAACTTACGATCTGTAACATATTAGGCAACTTGTATATAAAGGATAGCACACGAAGTCAGAGAGACAAATCAAAAGTTTGGTTTGAAGAAAAATAAATAAAAATTATCTTTACTGTAACTCTTACCTAACAGCACTTTAGCTTTTATTTCTTTTGTATCTTAACAAAATCGATAGCTTTATTTCTTATGTGCTAACAAAACTGAAGACTTTATTGCTTTGTGCATAGAAGTTGCTGCATATTCTTTGATTATCTGATAATTCGTTTCTTTTTATTCGATTATTTGACTTTGCTTATATTTTAAATTTTATGATATTATTTTGGAATAAACCCATTTTTGTGATTTGGAATGAATTTTATTTGAGTTTTGTTGATAAATTTAATATTTGAATTTAAACTTTATTAGTTATTTGAAGTTAAATATTATACTTTACCTTTACCTTTACCTTAAATTGATTGCACAATCGTGACATTCACTTCGTGTAATACTTCAACCTAAATCTCACCCTTTGCTACTGTGATAATTAGTCGGCCTAACTTTCGAATTGCTCATAACAACTGAATTGAACTCAAGCTTTTATATAGATGATATAATTATTATAATACCGAATTTTACCTCCATATAAATATTCTTTTAATTTCTATATTAACAAAATATCTGTAAATTTCTGATAACGTAAATTTATTGCTAAATAAATCTAATTATTTAGAATTTATGAATATGCAGTTCTCAATCCCAAAACATTATATAATTTATAAAAGATAAAAAATGCAAAAGAAATTATAAAATAAAATAAAACCATAATCAATTAAAATTTTTAATACTGTAAATTCCCTAAGGTACTAACAGTTTGTTATCTATACTAGTATAATAGTTAAACTAACAACATACATATTGAATATTTATGAATAACTTTGAATAAAAATGGAAACCAAACTATCTTTTCTAAAGTTTAAAATGTATATAGAACAACAAGAAAGTTTTTTATAAGAAATTAGGATAAATTTCTTCGAAATTAAAAGATTCAACTAATTCAGGAGCTCGATCATGTTCGTTCTCTTTAGCTATTTGATACTACTTTAATGTTAAAATCAAGATTTTTCGAGATACTGTGCCATTTGATAAAATTTCCCAATATTAAACTGAGCTTTATTATATCCTAATTCTGCAGCTCATTTTTATCTGTTCCTCCTCCGCCATATTCATAGTATTATTCAAGTCGAAAATGTAGGCGAGGTCACCATATCGAGATAATACAAATTTTAAAGTTCTTTAAAATAGAATTTTCTATTTTCTTTAGTCTCTTTATTCCTTTCATAATTAAATCTCAGAACTAATAGAATCACATTGTGATCAGCTTTTAGACTGGAAAAATGTTCAGATGTTTTTGTCCCGTTTTTTACTGTCCCTCTTCCAAACTCAAATCATCTGGAAAGATTATAAGATAACCAGACTCTGCCGATTTCAAATACCATTCAAATACGTTGTTCATCTTTGTTTGTTCTTCATAACAGAGAGCAAGATTATTTTGTGCACCAACTGCCTTTTCAAATTCTAATCAAATACCTTTTGTTCATTTTTGATTGTTCCTTTCCCAATAAAGTACCAATGAGCAAAATTATTTTGTGCTTGAGAAAAGCCAGATTCTACCGCTTTCAAATACCACTCAAATGCTTTTTTGTTCATCTTTGATTGCTCCTTTTCCATTTTTATAACGGATAATAAGATTATTTTGTGCTTGAGGATATCCAGACTCTGTTGATTTCAAACACCACTCAAATGCATTTTGTTTAACTTTGATTGTTCCATCCCCATTAAAGTAACAGATAACAAGATTAATTTGTGCATAAGAATAAAGTTCTTAACCCATTCCGAACAACAAATATCTTTCGTCACATATATCAATCCTTGATGCAGATCCAGTAGTTTTGTACCATGCTCTACAAGGGACTATTTATAGGTGATTCCTTTACAACCAAAGAGTATTCTTTGTATATCTATATGAAATTACGAAACTTTCATGGATTATCAAGGAGAATATCATAATTATGAAAATTGTCTTGGTTGTGCACTTGTTGTATCAACAACAGAAATAGATTGCAATTCGAACAGTTCAAAATCAGTTCCGAATCATGTAGAGCTAAATCAAAGGAGTTTTTGATAGTTTTACGAGCACATCAATCAGTTATAACAGCGAAGGACTAATAAATTTTTCAAAATTTCTCCGATAAAAGAACGAGATTTGTAAAAATAAAACCATAATACTTTATTAATAATTTCTCTTTTGAAGTTAACAACTTTATTAAAAATTAATCTTTTCTTGCGGAGTATAAGTAAGGAAGTTTATTCAATAATCTCAATTTGCAGTTGTCTTTTTTTCCTTGGGTTGCTAACTTCTATAATATTATGCCAAAAAGAAGAAAAGAGCTGCTGAAACAGAAGAAAGCATGATGTTTATTGCGACTCTAACCTGATCTAAAAATCCTGATAGTCAAACATCTGGCACCCAAAATTCTGACAGTGCAAGATTCCGTATGTACAAGATCTCGACAGTTTAAGATCCAAATAGTTCGAAATCTAATTATTCGAGACTTTCAATCTTACAACTCAGAATCTGAAGCTCAATAAAAGCACAAGAATATTTGTAATTATTTTACTAGTATAATCTTGCATGACATCATGATATGACATATTAATCAAGTTTTGAATATAAAAAAATTAAAGGTATGGTTATTGCTTTTAAAATTCAACCTTTCACTTATCTGTCTTTCATATTTTATACAAATAAGCTAATTTATTACATCAAAAATGATTTGGTGCAAAATCTACATACACAGAATGAAAGTTAATAATTACTTCTTATAAAAATTATATAAAGTACGATAACTAGTATTTATAATTTTTATATTAAATCAGTATATATTGAACTTTTATATTATTTTAATATTTTTATGCATTAATTAAATAATAAATGAAGCAAAATTTTTTGTTTGAAAAATAAAATTTGTGATCTTTAAAAATTAAAAATGATTTTTTGGTGTGTAATTCCAAATTTAGCAAAATCAGTGGTTATGAAGACACTGCTATTACCATTATTCCGATAAATTTGCTAATTCTGGAGAGGATCCACATTCATGTCCCGGATTTCACTATTTACAATCTTATATCGTTATTTTAAAGTTTCGAAATTAACAAAAATTAATTTAAAAACAGCAACTTCCAATTGACTTGAATTGGTTACAAGTACTACGGATAAATTATTGTTTAAATTACATTTGATGCTGTCAAATTCCAATCAAATTGTTCTCACCTCTTTATTATATGTTTCTGACTCAATTGATTGTTTTCTCCTAAAGGGTCCATTTTTCAACATTGACAAATCGGAAAAAAAATCAGTATTTTAAAACAAAACAATTTAGCAACCTTCTCTTATTTATCATATACGCATCTGAAAATCAAGTTGAAATAATGAACCAGCAACAATCGTCACCGGATATTTTCAAGCACTAAATAATCTTGCTATCCGTTATAAAATGGAAAAGGAACAAAACAAAGATGAACAAAAAGCATTTGAATTGTTTTTAAAATCGGCAGAGTTTGGGAATCGTGATATTCGTTTTAAAGTCACTGGATTGTTCTGAATTGTGGATTATGTTTATAATATAATTGCTGGTCTGAATGATTTAAAGTATTAAAACACTCATGAAATTCAAAAGAATAAATAAAAGATTTTAATATGATTTGTTTATTTAAATAAGAAGATAAGAAGAGAAATTGTATAAACAAAATATAGAACTATATCAATTTGTATATTTAAAGAAATTATAATTTTTGATATTAGTAATCGTGAGCAAAAGCAATCTTATGATTCATATCTCCAAATTCTGAAAATATTTTATTTTAGAAGGGTAAATTAATGAGACCCTTTGATAGAATTTGTATTAATCAAAGTTTAAAATCCTTTAAAGTTCGTGCTTATTTTAACTAAATTACATCCTATATCGATATGTTTTATAGGGTTTGGTACAACATTCCAAATAAATAATATCCCGAACACATGAAATCTCTAAATCATGATAATTTTGTGTTTGGTATACATGTAGTGGCTATGAACTTACAGTACCTAATATGGTTTCTTTAAAAAATGAACAACCGGTTTTCAAACTCTAATGAATTTATATT